CAGGGCACGGGCTGTATATGCAGCACCCTGCCAAACCAGCCCTGAAAGCTAGAACAGGCCTCTGGCTGTTCATGTGCTGGAGCCAGTGCACAGGGCTGGTCCAGCATGTCTAGGGTGTGGGCTGCATACACTGCTACCTCATGCTGTGTGCAGCGCCAGTGTCAGACCGTGGTGCAGGACAGACCAGCTGTAGACACTACAACATGTAGCACAGGGGGCCAGCATAGGGTGTGCATGGCATATAATAACCTGCCAGGTTGGCCCTGCATGCTGGTTCTGCCCAAAATGGGCTGGCCCTGGAGCCACCATGCAGAGCCAGTTCAGCAAGTGTGTTGCATGCAGCAACACCCCCTATGACAGGCCCCTGTGTGCATACAGTGTGTGCTGCACTGGGTCCAACCCTGTGCTTCATGCAATGCATGGGGTCAGGGTTGGTGCAAAGCCGATGGGGCTAGATGATACAGCTCAGTGGGCCAGAATTAGCCTTCAGGACATGTCTGCTATAATGCATATTAAGAAAGAAAATTCTTCAAATAGAATAAGCAAAACAATAATTGCAAGTAACATCTGTGTGCACAGAGTACCAAACAGTCCACAAACTGGCTTGGCCAGACACTAGGCCAACAGTTCTCTACCTCAACTGCCCCAAGTAAGGCAATATATATGTAGTATTAAGAGAGAACATAAAAGGAAATGACAAAGTAGTTCTTTTGGGGAAGAACCCAAGAATTAACGACTATTTTAGAAAGGGGGAAAAAAACCCCAACCCCCCTGCCTGAAAGTAAGATAATATGAGACAGGATCAGTAAAGACAGACTTACAGGAAGAAAGAGGCAGGATCCAGTGACAGGGAAATTAATTTGAGCTTTGCTGGGCATAGTGCTTCTGATAATGTATAAGACAGGGCTGCTGGGGAGTGTGACTTATAAGACAACAAGCCAGGGACTAGCAACAGAGAATTTATCAGAGCTAGTATTTGGAAGTGATCCTGCACCTTGGAGTATTTATGATAGTTCCGAGATTATTATTTTTTTAATTGCTAAAGGGTTTAGCTGCACATCACTAAGAACGTACCAAATTACTCTGCTTCAGCATCTCCTCTGTTGTCCCCAGAGTAGCTGTTTTTAGACTACAAAATTTAAAAAGTGAATTTGATTGGGAAATTGCAGGACCAGAAATCATCCACAGACTGGACAGTATCTCAACTTGTAAGATGTTGGTGTGTCAGGGGTGACTGGCAGGTGGAGCTGTGAGGGGCCTGATCCTTGTTGTGGCAACACAGCCACAGTCCCTTCCTGATCTGCCCCAAGGCGTGCGTGCCAAGCAAAATGCCTTTGCGTGTCACATTCTGGCACCCATGCCAGTGGTTGCCTACCCTGGTTTAAACTGAGACTATGGCTTTTGATCCCTGTTGCCTGGATTAGCTTTTATAAGCCCCATGTTCCCTAATGAGAAAACAAAGCAGTTTTACCACCCACTTCAACCTTCTCTGTAATGCCCCTTGCTTTTTTTCCCCTCCCCTTTCCCTCCCCTTTGCATTCTAACCCCTTTCTACTAAGCGGCAATGCTTCCTGTATGCAGCAATGCTTCCTGCAGTCCCTTCACAACTCCTGATGAAGTAAGCCCTCTGCTTACGAAAGCTTACGCTATAAATCTCTGATTTAGTCAGTCTATAAAAGGTGCAAATCGGCAAATCTTGCAATTGGCTAACTTATCTTCACCATCACACTGATGCTTATAAAAAGATGCCAATTAATTGTTTCGGAGTCTTGTCTGTCCTTAGGTCACTGAACATCCCTGTCACTTGTAGGTGTGCCGCTCAACTTGCTGGCACTTGACCCTCAAGACTTAGATCTTGAAAACTTTCTGACTAACTGACACCATGCAAATTTTTTGTTTAGGATGAATCAGATAAATCTTCAATTAACTCCTGAAAGAGTTAAGGAACACTGACTAAAGGTCACTGTGTCTTAACGTCTACACTGCCTGAGGATTGTTCTGATACTACCCATAACAAAATGAAGAAGAGTATGCAGTCCCAAAAGATGGCTAAGAAGAAAAAAAAGAAAGAGCTTAGATCAAGAATGAAGAGACATCTCAATGTCTTGCCTCAAATGGCAGTAGAATCAGAAGTAAAATGGCAACTGGACTGTAATGACAGCATACAAGATTTTTCCACACTTAAAAGATTGAAACACAAAAGTTCTTCCAAGTGGGCCTCTGTAGAAACTGTTATTCTGTCCAGCCCTCATTTTCAGTAAGAAGCCCTGTTATCTGGCACCAGTGGGGAATGAGGTGTGCCAATAACCTAAAAATGCCGCTTACCTGAGGCACAGGGTTTTCTGGCTGGACATGGAGCAGAGAGGGGGGAGAGTGGTGGCAGCCACACGCACAGTGGCACCAGTGCAAGGGGGTAGGTGGTGGTGGCAGCTGCCGCCGCAGGCAAGCCCCCCCCCCACAATTCCAGTTAATAGAAATGCTGGTTAGTAAAATGCCAGATGCTGTCATAGCTTTACTGTACCTATAAGTTTTGGTATTTGACTTTTGGCTCTGATTTTTCCATGATAAAAAAAACCCACTCTGTCCTTTTTGCTCACCAGGATGCAGGTCCAGACCCCTCACTCCCCAGCCACAGCCTCCCCCCTGCCCTGCCAGCACCCCTCACTCCCCAGCCACAGACCCCCATCCCCCAGCTGCTAGGGTTACAGGGCCAGGGACCCAGATCTGCAGCCCCCTGCAGCAATGCCTGACCCCCTGCTGCCACCTGTGCGAAGCAGTGGCTGCTATAGCAGAGCAGTGTGTGGAGCCCAGGTTCCTCCTCCTCTGTGAGTGGCACAGCTCGAACAAAGCCTGCGTGGGGGCGAGTGTGGATTGCCCGCTGCAGGCTCAGGGCCTGCCCTGCTGCACCCCCACCCTGGGCCTCCATGATCCAGGGGAAACCCAGCATGGCAGGGCAGAGCAGGCCAGGCAGGGAAGCTTGCTACTGCAAACTCTGCACCACTGTGGCGAGGCCCCTCCTGCCCACCTAGCAGCAGAGAGGGGCACAATTTTGTGCCACTGCCCCCATTGCTGCTGGGTGGGCAGGGGGAGCTTTGCCAGGGTGGTGTGGGGCTTTCAGCAGCAAGGAGCTTCCCCGCCCAGCCCTGCTCTGTTCTACTCTGCCACACTGGGTCCCACCTGCTGGGTTGCAGGCCCCTGGGGACAGGGCAGCAGGGTAGGCAGCCCGCACCGACCCCTCCACACGCACAGATCTGGGGGCCTGTGCCCTCCATGCCCTTCCCAGGTGTGCATGTAGCGGTGGGGAGCCAGTCAGCCCCACAGCCAGACGAGTCACCCAGGTTCTGTCCTGCTCCCTGCCCGGGCCTGTGGCTGTGCATTTGGGCCCCAGGCCTCAAGCCCCACACACTGCCCAACTGGGTAGTAGCTCCAGCCCCAGTCTTGCCCAACTCCCTCCCCATGGGGGCCTCAATTCCTGCCCCACCTCCACAGACTCGCCTTCATGGAGCTGTTTTCCAGCTGCCTGGTGGCCACATGCATGTGCGAGTGTGCACATGGCGCCCCATGCCTCACTGCCCTACTCCTGTTCCCTCCAGCCCCTTACAGGCCGCAACTTTGCCAGCTTGGCAGGAAGCTCTTTTCAAAAGTGGAAAATCTGCATTTTTTTCTGTTTTTCCATGGGAGGTGGAAAACTCAATCCCTAGTGATTAGTCACCATTTTGTTTGTCTGCATTTTCTTGTTTTACACTGTTCTGCACAGTGCCAAACCCACCAGAATTCCTTACCTGTATAAACAAAGCTATGTACAATGGTATTTATTTGTGCCATTTTTCCCCCAGAGATTGGCTTTATTCTTCATGAACTACTACCATGTCTCAGAGGAATGCTTCCTATGAATATGCTATCATCTAGCCTGAAGCTGACACACAAGCCTTGGCTGACCCTCTGGAAAGAGCAGGCGAGCCAAGTGCAGCTGAATTAGACCACAAAAAATATTCTTGTGCATGACTAAGCAACTCTAGTTGAAAAGAGCAATAGAGAGAGATCGAAAGTTGCAGCAGAAGATACAGGTCAAGCTCAGAACAGATTATTTCTTTTCAAGAGCTAGACCAGATCTTCAGTGCTTGCCCTTCCTTTCACCAGAGATGTATTAGATATCAATAGTCTCCTTTGAATGCAGTATTGAGGGAGAGGAAGAACATTTGCATTAACTGGACAGATCAAAAAGACAAGGTACCAGCCCAAAAAATGCTATGCACAGGAAGGTTATGAAACAGAAAATCCATCAGCTTTCAATTAAAGAAAATAATCTACTCAGAACTCAATACAACTCGAGACTGGATGGGCTTGTAAAATTATGTGAATTGATGTGAATTTAAGTCTATAATAACAAGTTTGTTAAACAGAACAGAACAGCAACAAAAAGACTTTTTTTGATTTGGAGCAGGTCCAAGGAGGTGATCCTCCCCCTCTATGCGGCACTGGTCAGGCCGCAGCTGGAGCACTGCGTCCAGTTCTGGGCGCCGCACTTTAAGAGGGATGTGGACAGCATCGAGAGGGTCCAGAGGAGGCCACTCGTATGATCAAGGGACAGCAGGGTAGGTCCTATGAGGAAAGGTTGCGGGACCTGAACCTGTTCAGCCTTCAAAAGAGAAGGCTGAGGGGGAATCTTGTGGCCTGTTATAAACTGGTTAGGGGGAATCAGCAGGTGCTGGGGGAGTCCATGTTCCCCTGAGCGCTGCAAGGAGTGACCAGGAACAACGGTCACAAGCTGGCGGAGGGAAGGTTTAAGTTGGACATCAGGAGGCGCTACTTCATGGTCAGGGTGGCTGGGGTCTGGAACCAGCTTCCAAGTGAGGTGGTGCAGGCTCCTACCCTGGGGGTTTTTAAGAGGAGGTTGGATGACCACCTTTCCTGTACTCTTTCCTGCCATGGCAGGGGGTCGGACTAGATGATCTGCTCAGGTCCCTTCCGACCCTAGAAACTATGAAACTATGACTTGCCTGGTAGTTGAAGTAAGTACTTGTAAGGCTCTAAAAGAAGTCGTTTAGATGTTTGTTCCACCTGCTCCATTTCTGTGTTAAAAAAGACAGTGCTTCACCCTGTTAAAAGGTTAAGAGTTATTGTCACAAATTCAGATTACAGAAATTAAAAAAAAATAAGAGACAAAAAAAATCAAAATGAGAGTCAAATCATTAGCACCTGTTTAGAAAGAAGGAGAAAAGATAAGCAGGCTTCAGATATTCAAACCACATGCAAATGTTCCTTTAAAGGCAGCATTTTCAATTATCACCAGCTTTGCAATACAAAAGACTAATGGCTTTGGCATTATTAATAAAGACATAACTAAGTCTCAAACTTTTTAAAACTGAAACCTACTTCTGAAAAGTCAGTTATTTTAAATTAAGGTTTAATTTTTTATTTGAGTCTGTTTTAGCTTCTGTGACTTTAAAGTACCTACATTATAAATATCTCAGATAACATTAAAAGACAGCAACATGCGTGTCAAGCACCTATTTTCCATCTGGGAATTTTTTCCTGAAGTTTTTCTACTGGCCAAAAGATCAGGGTCCCTTCCCACCCCCTCCTTTTTAAGGGACATTTTTGAAAGAAAAAGGTAAGGTATAGGGACTTGTTGTGCTTTTTGCTTCAGTTTTTATTCTTTTCCATTTCTCTCTTTGTACCATGTCCTGTCTTTTTAGGTTTAGGAGTTTTGCTTTCCCCCCCCCCCTTTCTCTTCTATATCACACTCTCGGATGCGTGTCAGGTTCTCTTGCTGTCATTTCAGACTCAGCTTCCCTGGATAGTTCATTCTAGGACTTGTTTCCCCCCAGTTCACGTCCTCTTCTCCATTTCCAGGCCGTTAGCATTTCTGTGATTTTCAGACTCCTTTCTAGAATTCATTTTCCCTCTTTTTACCTCTAACCTTTGTTGCTGCACTGCAGCTAGAGCAGCTCAAAACTCACCACTTGCTTCTGTCATGGGAAGACTGGACCTGCAGTGGTGGCATGAAGTTCCATGCCACTCCAGCAGCAGTTCTTACCTGCTGGCAGGCACCTTGCAAGAAGCCATTTCCTTTGTCCTAGTAAATGCTGTCTAGTTGCTGCATTACCAGTAAAACAGGATTATTTCTAGACTACATTAAAAAACATCAATACCATATATGTTTTGAGAACAGGCACATCCAGGAGACCAGTTAAAAGAAGTCTATATTGTAGAATAGATTTAAATGCATCTTTAAATGATTTGATAATTGAAAACTGTTTATTGCAACTGTTCTTAAACTACTGTAAGTTAATATCAAAATTAGTAATAAACAACTGGAAGTTAGTTAATATCAAAAGTAGTGTTAACTCTTTAAAAAAAAAAAAAAAAAGAAAGCAAAAAAACCCCAACACAACACAAAACATATGGCAGCAAGTGGGAATGGGACAGAGAAAGAGAGCGTGACACCAGGGCTTGGCAATGTTTTCCAGGCACAAAGGAGGTCTCATGCTTAGGCTAAGCTGTGGAAGAGCATGGGAGAAGTGCCTGCCTCTCCAGTTACATACAACGCAGACAAAGCCAGGACTACCAAAGCCCCCACTCTGCAGAACAGATCCAGTGGTTACCAGCTCGCAGGCCACAGACTGCTGAACCTGGGTGCATATGGTCTTGCACTGCCAAGGTGGAATTTCATAGGACTTCGAGAAATAAGGTACCAATCAAAAACAAGGAAGGCTACCACAATCTTCCCCAAAATAAGGATACACATAGATTTAAAAATAAATAAATAAAAAGCAGAATAAAGATAACATTGGAGAGGTGACCACCGTGCTGGGGCACCCTTTCACAGCCGTTAGGCTACCTGAGCCCCACAAGGCGGGCAAGCTAATGCAAGTGAAATCGTGAGGTTTCAACTGGTGGTTCAGAGCCCAAGAAGCCCCCTGACAACATCCCACTCCAGAAGTACGTGCCTCTTCCTTCTTGGGGCCAGGCTGGCAAGCACTCCCTGCAGCAAGCAACACCACAAGGCTACCAGTCCTTACTCAACGAGTGGGGGTAGGTTGAAGGGCACTTCAGCTTGCTAGCACTTAGCAAAGAGGTCTGACCAGAGCTTCATAAACTTTTCCCCAGGTTGGCCCCATTGATGACATTTCCCCAGCATTGCCCCATTGCCACCCCCCTTTCCCCAGCCTGGCCCCTCACTCCCAACCCACCACCCCACGATGGGGATCTGCTGATATTGCGACCTCATTGGGGGTCACGACCCAGTTTGGGAATCACTGCTTGACGGCGACACAAGCCTGACGAGCGAGACAGCAGGGGCGGGAAAACCGCCATCTATGTCCCAACCGACCCCCCGCCACTAGGCGCCAACCAACACCTACCGCGCGCCCGGCCGCTCCACGCAGAACGAGGCTAGCCCCCAAGTGCTGCCTCGCGTCCGGTGCCGCCGGACTTGAGCGCGAGGAGAGGGGCCAGGCCCCGGCTCCGCGGGGGGCTGAGGAAGAGGGGAAGGGGACCAGGCTCCACCCCCTTCCGCCTTCACCGCAGCCACCGCCGCCACCATCGCCCGTTGAGGGAAAATGCGCCACCAGAGCCGCAGCGCGCAGGCGCAGGAGCGGGGCCCGCCCCCACTTCGAGCGGCGGGGCCGCGCGCGGTGCACCCTGGGCGGTGTAGTCCTTCCGCCGCGGCCCCGGCGCTCAGAGCGGCGGGGGAAGAACCGCGGCTCCCGCGAGCCTCCGCGGCGCCGAGTCGGTGTTTCCATAGAACTGGGGGAAAACTGACGTCAGCCTTTCCGAAGCGGCGGCCAATGGTGGCGGAGGGGAGGCGGGCCCTGGAGGAGCGTGGGCCAATGGGCGGGGCGAGGGGGCGGGGCCCGCTCCGCCCGTCAGGCAGGCAGTT